GTGTGAAGTACTCTCAATTTATCTCTAATATTCCTTTTTGATAAATCCAATGGTTAATTCTTGGTCCTCCTTTTCTTGGATGTATTAGCAGAATTTTTTCTGATCACTTTCCCCCCTTGAAACACATTCTTCATTCATTTTGCAAGATGCCCACACACTTGAGTTTTTCCTGACTTCAATGGTTTCTCTGTGTTTCTGTTTACTTTATCCTCCTCTTCTTCAGTCTTCATGTTGAAGTACCCAGGCTCAGTCCTTGGTCCTCTCCTCTACCTACATCTTTGCTTTGGGAATTTCATTTGATTTCAGAGCTTTAAATACTACTTCTGTGCTGGTAAATCCCAGATGTCTATCTCGGATCAGTCCCCCTCCCAAACTGCATACTCATACATCTAAATGCCTATGAGACATATCTGATCATCTCATGGGCTCCTAGATGCATCACCTGCGACACAACTCCCAATCTTGTTTTCAAACTTAATAGAAACTTTCTCCATCCTTCTAGCTACATAAGCAAAAACTCTGGAGTCATTCTTGAATTCTTTCCCTCATATACTTCATCTCTTTCATCAGGAAATCCCATTGGCTGTACTTTGAAAATACAGTCAGACTCTGACCATTCTTCTCTCTTCTACCTCAGCCATCCTGGTCAGAGTCAGCAGTGTCTTGCCTGGATTACTGCAATAGCCTCTGAACTGGTCTTTGTGTTTCCATCCTTGCCCTGGTACAGCCTATTCTTAACACAGCAGCCAAAATGATCCCTTTAAAATGTAAGCCAGACCACGTCACTCGTCTGCCAGAAACCCGCCAATGGCTTCTTGGCTTCCTGAGACCAAAAGTCAAAGTCCTTGCTATGGCCTGCAGTGCCCTGTAGGATCTGTCCTTCCCTGATACTTCTGTAACCCCCACCACTCTCTACCTCACTCACTCATTCCCTTTTAGTCACTGGCTTTCTTTCTTTTCCCCAACAAGCTGGGAAAAGATCTTAGAATCTTTGCTTAAGCCTTTTCTCTGGCTGGACTATTCCACTTGGCTAACCCCCTTACCTCCTTCAAGTCTTTGTTCACACGTTACCTTCTTGACGACGTCTATTCTTACCATCCTACTTAATACTAAAACCACTTCACCACTTATGCCTGATCTCCTGACCCTACTTTTTTTTTTTTAATTTCTGTGTCACTCACCAATCTCTAACACACTATATAACTTCCTTATATATTATAATTTATATATTCTAGACTGCAAACTCCACAAGGGAAAGTATCTTTGTCTTGTCCACTGATGCACCCTTGAGCGCCTAAAACAGGGCAGGCATATAGCAGGTGCTCGATAAACATATTCTAAGTGAATGAATGAACAAATAAATGAATCAATAATGTATATCCCAGTCAGTACTGAATCCTAATTCTCATAATTACACCTAGGAACAATTCTAGGACCCACTTCTTCTGCTCCATGCCTATTCCTATCCTCAGGATACTTTTACTACTGCACAACTAAGGTTTGGAAACTCAGCACTTTTCACTCATCTGGTTTGCCCCCAGCAGACCAGTCCCCCTACAGCATTGCTCATATCACTGCCATGTCCATTGTGGGATGCTTGGACTCCTTAGAGCTCTACCAGCTTACTTGGATTACCTGGCTCTCCAATTCCCTATCCCAGTCTACTTTTATTGCCTTTTCTCACTACTCTTTTCCTTCCATGAACCCCTCCTTCTTCCTCACTGTCTTCCAACCCTGACCGTGTACTACAACCTCCACACCTTTGTTGTCAGTGCATTTCCCGACCCCTGCCATCTCCATCCCAGCTTACTTGGATTACCTGTTACCTGCAAAGGCTTTCCTGACCCTCTGGTCCACAAGGATCTTTCCATTTTACGCTTTCACAGCCCTTGCAGTACAGACCCCCTGTTCCGCTGATAAAACCCTATATTGTCCGATGGCAGCTACTGGGGTTATTTTTTTAACTGCACTTTTATGTAACACATGGGTTATTATGTAAAACTTTTGCACAGTAGTCTGGCTAGAGGGAGAGATTTCACTTTTAATTGTGAGACTGAGAGATACATCTTCTCTCTCCACTTATATATTGGTTCTCTGAAAGGGAATCACTTTCCTCAAGCTTCCTTATATTTCCCATGGCCTCGAACATAGTGCTGGGCATCCAGGACAGGGGTAGTGTTTGCAATGAATGGAGGATTCAGGATCCACATAGGGAGGTGGTCATGGATTCTAAGGCACTTTGCTGGAGCGTAAGGACTAAAGGATAAAACGTTCATGAGATAAGCCAAGATTAAAAACCAAAAACTATGTAAGGAAGTTGTCTTCTAGTTAGTTTCTTTTCATTAACTGTCATAAATGTGGTTGGTAATCTGAAAATGTGAAGCACCAATTGATCTCTGTTCTCTTACTGTGATTTATAATCCTGTTGTAGTGTGTGAATATCTTTCCCGTTTTGAAAGGAGGAAGACATGTAGCTCGTCAGTGCAGCAGGAGAGGTCCAGCAGCCTTCAGCCCAACCCATTTTCTATTGTAGTGAAACGGCCAAAGGTTATGGCATCGTCGAGGACCCCTACTCTACTCTGCAAGGCCCAGGCTCAGGGAAAGGTGCTTTCATCAGGTAACGATCAGAGATGCAAATGCGGTTACAGATTCTGTGGTTCAGGGTTAGCGCTTTGCTCCTCCGTGTCCTTCCTACTCTCTCTCATTTATTCGCTTAGCAGACGCCATTGCCAGCTCTGGCCGGGGCTGGCCATCCACATCAGAATCTCAAGTGCCTTCACCACCGCTCTCCACGATAGATATCAGGAATGTTCTCATTTTACAAGTGAAGACCCTGCTCAGAGAGGTTAAGTAACTTGGCCCAGTTGTAGATCTGAGATTTGCACTTGGTCGGGCTTTGACATCAAAGTCCTTGTTTTTTCCACTTCGTCAAACTGCCTCCCATCAAAGTCCTTGTTTTTTCCACTTCGTCAAACCGCCTCCCAGGTGCTCAGGATATATGTGATAGAGGCACAAATGAATGAATGACCCCAAAATTTGTAGCTTTGACAAACACCATTTAACCACCATAGACAATGCAGAAGACTAAAACAGTAGTACTGTTTTGTTAAAGAGATACTGAGATACAAGTGTTGACACGGCCCAAGGGTTTGCATGAAAGTTTCTGGAAGATAGATCTCAGCTTTCTTTGCCAAGGTTCTGAAACAGGGTTCCAGCCCCTTCCTTCTTCCTGAGATATGTAATCTAGTTATCTTGTCAAACCTTGAAGTCTCTTTCTACTCAAGTACTATACAGGGACCCAAAGATCTGGGAGGCCATGACAGTCCTCTCTGCATTTCCTCTCCTCTGTGGGGCCGGGCGGCGATGGTGAAAAATGAAAGTACCCACTGACGACAATCTGCTAACCACCCCAAATGTACTAATCTTGTCAAGACTTATAGCCCTGAGTGTGCAAATCAGGAGAGACAGAAATAGGATGACCTAAGATTAATGACATAAAATTCAGTTTTGAGAAGGCAGGCAGCTTGGAGCTCGCCTCTCTCCCAGCTATCAAAGAGTTCTGTAACAATTACTAGATTCTGTCCCTGACCCAGGAAACTTGGGCCAAAAAGCTCTGTCATTCAGCCTTCATGTGTCTGCCTTAATAGTCCCAGCCACTGCTCTCTGTCACACAGCAGCTAGTGAAAACGTTCCCTGGATTACTAGTCTGCGAAAGAGACCGCCCCCAGACTCTCTTGCATTATCAAGTAATGAGCAATAGTCCCTTAATTCCCCAAATGTATGAGTTATTGAAATCTTGGTGTAAAAATAAAAAAAGGAGAATTAAAAATTTCATGTTGTACCTTTATGAACGCAGTATCTTAAGTATTTCCTTGGTTATTTCAATTAATGTAGTTCTAATTCGACGCTCCTATGTATTTGAGAAAGCCCTTTCAAAGGGCCCATTAGCTGAGAGATCCGAGTGGAGGTTGAGGCCAAGAAGCCGTCACTGTTAATTCTTACTACTCTTAGATCTTTTAATTGGGGGTCCTGCATGTTGACAGGCACGGAAGATGTGACAAAAGCTTTTCCCCGAGAAAGTTATCTCAGTGCTGACACTGTATTCACAGACAGAAGCAACTAGCATCAAGGATTTCCGTTTAATGACGGGTGCCCCTGTCCCAGGTTGCCACTGTTTGTCACTTTGCTTAGCCTAAGTGGGGAACCGCAGAGAGGACTCCTGGCCCTAGTCCTGGCTGTGCCCAGGGTACTTTGCGTTAGTGGTCAAAGGAGCAGAAAGCTGTTCTCTGCTCTCCCCTTCCACAGAGCTGTCCCCGACCCACCTCTCCTAAGTTAGACTGAGCGAGAAAAGGCCACAGCAGTCACACCAGGCCACAGCACAGAGCAGCATTCTCAGTTAGCAGACCTGTTTCCCCAGTCAGGGGAAAAAGTGGCCCCAACAAGGGGGACAAAAACCAGAAAATGCAAGGGAGGGAACATTCCAGGGTGAAATATATTTAAAAAAAAAAAAAAAAAGGAAGAAAGAAAGAAAAAGGAAAAAAAAAAATGAAAGAAAGAAAATGCACAAATCCCATGAGGGTGTCTGGTTAACCAGGGGTTAGAATCAGGTTTAGAGAATCACACGTAACTCAGTGTCTTGGCAAATCCAAAAACCCCAGGGCGAAAGGCATGTGGGTAAAAGGCATTTCTACTTGTGGAAACAGGAAGTTTCCTTCTTTTACCATTTATTCTCTCTCTTATTTATTTTTTAGTCTGTTTGTAACCCATATTTGGACCATTGATCACTTTTACCCACCCCCTCCCACCCCCAGCATTTTTATCTTTCCGGAATGAAAGGAGCAACGAAGACGGGATCCAAAGATCCCTTTCCCACAGCCAATTCCAGTGAGCCCCTCTCTCCCAGGGTTACAGGGGGCTCGGAGCAGACATTCTCAGCGAGACGCGCCACACACAGCAAGTCACCACACCAGACTGCTCTAGAGGGCTTCCAGGGAACTTACTTGTACTTGTGCTGGTTCCAATTGTATTGATTGTGGTGGGGACAGATGAGGAGGAGTAGAGGGGCACGTGGCCGTTCTCACACCCCAGGCTTTTGTCCTGCCAGTTGGAGGCACTGATGCAAATCCCAGAATCCCGAGAGTTCTGCCACCCGTTCAGTTGGTCATCGGAGTTCTGTCTTTGGTGATAGTAGTGTGTCTGCCCATAATCCACAGAGTCCGAGCGGCTTCGGCTCTGGCCGCCAAAGCTGGTCGATGTGCGGTCCTCCAAGTGATTCAGCCACATGGCTAACGCGCTGCGGTCTTCCAGCGAAGTGGCCGGATGTATCAAAGCATAGGACAGCAGTTGCCTGCTCTCCTCAATGTGCTGGTTGTGTTCAATAGAGTGCGCCAGGATTTTGGGTAACAGTTTCATATACTCTACTTTTGCATCAAGGTTTCCTGGCTTCAGCAAAGGCAGATGAGTTAACAGGAGGGAAATCACTTTATCCTTGGATTCCTGTTGCCATTGGTTAATGATTCCTGGAAGGGAAAATATACAGGGCAAATAAGCAAATCCACCCACCACGGCATGAAACACCACACTGTCAAGAGAATTCCTATGGGCTAGAGTCTCCTTCTATGTATCCTGGCTAAGTTTTTTAAAAAACAGCCCATGCATTGGATTGGATAACTAATTCCAGGTTGTCAGGAGGCAGTGACATAAAAGAAACACAGAACAAATGTTCTTAGACGTTGGGGTGCCCAATCTAATTCCCACTCACATCTCCAAAGAGCCTACAGCTACTTCGGTACAATCAAATAGAATTTACAGAGCGGTGTTCTTAGAAAAGCCTAGCTACGCCTTCAGATAGGGGATAAGGATTAAGAAAATCTCCACAGAGAAAGAAGTGTTGTCTTGTCAGAGGTTCATTGGATCCTTGCGGGGGGTCAGGCTGCTTTCCCTTCTGAAGACATCTGTGGAAAAGTGGTTTACACCCTAGCCAAGGCATTTGTGTGAAGGTGGTAAAACTTCCTAGATAGAGAAATCTGTCAGGAAAAGAAAGGACTCCCCTCATCTCAGTGAAGTAAGACTACACCTTTCTCATGAGAAGCTGCCTCAGAAAACCACTGTGACCTCAAAGCTAGATCTCAAAGCTAGACTTAGCTCAGGTGGCACCTCTGATTACACATGAGAAGCAAAGCTATTTTTCTTTACATATAGATGACCTGTTTAGTTATCTTTATTATGGTAAAGTATGTATAATATAATATTTACCATTTTCACCGTTTTTAAGTGTACTGTTGTGTGGCAATAAGGACATTCTCAATGTTGTGCAGCCATCCCCGCCATCCATTTCCGAATCTTCTTCATCTTTTCAAACTGAAACTCAGTAACCCTTGAATAACAAGTCCCTATTTCTCCCCCGCCACCCCGCCCCAGCTCCCGGCAACCACTGTTGCATTTTCTGTCTCTATTTATTTGACTACTCTAGTTACCTCATATCAGTGGGAACCTACAGTGTTTGGCCTTTTGTGACTGGTGACTTCATTTAGCGTCATGTCTTCAAGGCTCCTTCATGAGAAGATCCATTTGCGACACACTCTCAAGGATCCCTTCCTGTCCCCTTCTACCCAAAACACAACTTGTTGCCTTTAGGTAAACATGGATAAACAATGTACTTTGACTTTGACTAGCCTTTGAGAAGTAGCTTGTTCTGGAAACTGGTAGTTATCTTCAGAGCCTGGAGCCACTAGAAAGCAAGCTCCCTTCCTGAAAAGTCACTCCTGACACCTGAAGACATTGTCTCTGGCCTACTGATTACCCTACATAGGCTAGGGCAGGGCAGTCCTCCTGGCTTTCACGCAGTATCTACAGAGTCAAAAAGGGGTCTCTGGAATTTAGCAGAAGGGCTTCACGATTCTAGTGAGGCACAAACATATCAGGACACACTCAAGAGTCATTGTTGACCAGAAGCTATAAATGCATCAGCCAAGTACCGTAAGCCCTTCAAGACCAAGGGTATATCCAAAGAAAATTGCCAGGCAAGGAAGGCATGATATATAATGCAAAAATGTGGGATCTGGAATCAGGCAACCCTGGGCATGGATCCCAGGTTTGCCACTTAATTTGCCATGGGACCTCAGTATGTTACTTTGCCTGTAGGAGCCTCAACTGTCCCATCATTTAAGACTGTTACCAGCAGCATCTGTCCCTCCTTGCATGGTAATGTATCAAAGTGACAGGTCAAGTACTCCTTGGCGGAAGTAATGCCTTCTACTCATCTCTACATTGATCGGGTCCCACATTAGACGCATGTGGGATGGGTTCAGATACCGAGGTTTAAGAATAATTATAGAGTCTAAAGACGACCCGGGGAAGGTCATTAAAAAATATCAGAGTTGGAAGAGGTAGGAAGTCAAAGGGTGAAAAGAAAGAAAGAAAGAAAGAAAGAAAGAAAGAAAGGAAGAAAGAAAGAAAGTCAAAGGGTGAAAGAAAATAAGGCTTATAACTGAACAACAGGAAGAGATGCTCCATGTGGGGATTTCATAAGAAGACGAAGACTCAGCAATTTGAAGTCCAAGTCTTCAAATGGAAGCAGCAGAGATTAAGACTGGATGTGTAGAAGAAATGAAGTGTCAGAGTGACAAAAGACCCAGAGGAGTTGCCAAGGAAGCCTTTATCATATCTGTCCTGGGGACCTGAAGAATAGAGATAGATGGTCTAGGGAAGCACTGTTGGGTAGAATGTAATGTGAGCCACACACAGTATTTGAAATTTTCTAGCATTAAAAGAAAAGTGAAAAGAGGGAGATGAAATTAATTTTAATGATATATTTTCTTTAATCCAATATATCGAAACATTATCTCAATTTGTAATCAATATAAATCATCGATGAAATATTAGACATTCTTTTCTTTGCATCAAGTCGTCGCCGTCCAGGGTGTATATTACCGCTGACCTCACATCTCTAACTGGGACTAGCCACAGCTGAAGCGCTCAGAAGCCATGTGTGGCTGCCCAGCCACAGAGCTAGAGACATTCAGATGGGGAAAGAGGATGGCAGGAGGGCACCCATGACCTCAGCAGGTCCCTCCCGGCTCCCTAACTCTATATTTAGCTAACTGCCACCTGACAAAAGACAACCCTGGTGCATTCCATTAGTATGGCCTCCCTTTTAAAGCAGCTTTGGGAGACAGAGGAAGCACTGTTCCAGCTTCCCATCGACACATTTTCAGGAAACACCCGGCATGTTTTTAATTATTAATATGCTTCGGACAAAGATGAAATCTGTTGATTAAGCCCACAGAACTAAAGAGTTATTGGCAAGAAGCAAAAGGCCCCGAGAGGAAGATACAGCTGTGTCTGATGCCAGCCCAATGAGCAGATGTGGCTGGCATACACCTGGAAAATGTACGTGTAGAAAGAAAATTCAGGAACCAGTTTTAATACAAATTCATGGGGTTGAGGAACACCCTGGCTTTCTGCAAGGTTACTTTCCTGTTTGGGGATTCTACCCTTCTGCAAAAGGTCAGCCTGGGGGAAAAAAAAAAGAGGAACAAAACCAGAACATAAATAGGACTCGGAGTGCAAACAAACCACGTTATCTCCATGTAAGCACTCTCTGCCAGGGATTAGCAGCAAAGGGGAGAGGAAAACAAGGGCCCTGGCCCTGGTCCCTTCCACGCCTGAAATGGGACAGGGCTTGAGTAGTGTGGAACTGGGGTGTGGCCAGGAAGACAACCATGACTTTTGTTTACTACCATTGGGAACCTGGACGTGAGGCTGCCCCCTGAGGGCGGTCTTCTGAGGTGTACTACTGGATCGAACTTTTCCTGCAGCAGCTACAGCTGCAACGCTCACAGCTAAGGGTGTTGAATGGGGTTTATGTGCACTCTTGTGCACATGTCATTGCATGTCATTACTCATTTAATCCTCCCAAGGAACTGATGAGGTAGGTCCTGTTGCAGACTTATTTTACTCATGAGGACAGAGAGGCACAGAGAGGTCAAGCCATTTGCCTCCAGTCCCCCTGGCAGGGGAGGTGGCAGAATGGGGGTATGCAAATTAGCATAAAGATACATAATGATTATCATGCTAGAAGAGTTTGGCCATAAATTAGATACATTAATGTTTAGAATATAGGTAAAATGTGATTCTATAATACATAAGATACATAATACATTAACTATATATAAGAAGTGAAGATGTGTATGATATTTACAAATATAATAATATGAATATCTGAATAGAGTGCATGGATATGCAGGAAGAAGAGTAGTTACAGAGTGACACTTACTGTGGTTTTAAAATATGTCCACCACTTCCTTGATATTCCTCTAAAAGATGGAGCCTCATTAATTCCTTTCCCAATCAGGGCAGAGCTAGACTTAGGGAGTCACTTCTAACAAACTGAAGGTGGCGGAAGTGATGGTGTGTGAGGTCATGGATTAGGTTATAAAAGGCACTGAAGGGGCATGTGGGTGGCTCAGTCGCTTAAGCGTCCAACTCCTGATTTCGGCTCAGGTCATGATCACAGGGTCGTGGGGTTGAGCTCCGGGTTGGGCTCTGTGCCGAGCGTGGGGTCTGCTTGCCCCTCTCCCTCTGCTCCTCCTGCCGCTCACACTTGCTCTCTCTCTCTCTCTCAAATAAATTAATTAAAATTAAAATTAAATTTAAAAAATAAAAGAGGCTCTGAAGCTTTTACCTTGCTCTCTCTTGGGTTACTCACTCTGGAGAAGCCAGCCACCATGCTGTGACAATACTCAAACCACCCAGTAGGGAGAAGGTCTTGATAGTGAAGGAGGGACTGAGTCTTCCTGCCAACAGGCAATGCTGACTTGTTAGCCCTGTGAGGGAACCAGAACTCCCAGACCATTAAGCCTTCAGATGACCACACTCCAGACAACATTTGGGAGACCCTGAGCCAGAAACACTCATATTCCTGATCCATAGAAACTGCATGTGGTAACGTGTTAACTGTTGTTTTAGCTGCTAAGTTCTGGGTTATTTGTTATGTGATCCAAAAAACCCAATATATCTCTTCAAGAGTTTTCCTCTAGAAAAGTGGAAGTGTTAGCCACTTGGCTTTGAGCAGTTCACTCCTTCAGATTCTGAGATCTACTCATGAAGCCAACTGGTGCCACTGAACATTCACCTCAGCCTCCTTCATCCTGATTATCCATTTGTCAACAACTTTCGGACAGTGACTAATCTCTCAGTGTCTTTAGGGAAAGAATGAACTGATCACACACACTTAAGGTATTTCTAGATTCTGTGATGATGATTTTTCAGGGCGATTTAATGGTTTCTGATTGTGATTTGGTTTCCTGTGGAGGCTGCCTTCCTGTTCTCAGTATATAGACTTTGAGTACATCTGGTCCCCTGGTGATGGCTCCTCACAGCAAATAAGCCAGCATTGTGGGGTTTACTTCCCTGCTTCATCATGAGTACTGAGTCAGTCCTTCAGGGTGAACATCTCCAGGACACTGATAAGAGTAAGCATCTCCACCTCGAAATGGGAGCCAGGTCCTCCAGGTGG